GTCACCTGGCTCCGCCGTGGAATTTGATGTTCCCGGTGCCGACAGTCGCCGTACAGTCGACGTTACTGACCTGGGGTCGCCCCGTTTCATCACTTTTGACCGCCACAACTGAGCTGATGGACAGCCCTGTCACACTCAAATCAAAGGAGCCGCTGTCCTTCCTGTTTGGATGAAACGCGACACTGCAGCAGGCGAAACGAGTGTTTTGTGGACGCAACAAATCTTTTCACACTTACAAAATTCGTCGGTATTTGACCCTCCAGTTTCCCTTCATATTGATGAAGGCGTTCCCAATAGACAGTCTGACGCTGGTCCCGGGCACCAGGTCCACAGTGGAGGAAGGTAATCCCGCCGCCACTGTTTGCATACTGGAGGGAATTACATGCTGAAGTGGCCACACAACGTTTGGCAATCTCCATCAGATCAGTCGATTGTCTTACTTTGACAAGCTGTACTGGACCTTGCCGATGACGGACACTCTCTCTGTGCCGGATATATCTGGGATTGTTATGCTTCGGAGTTTCTTCTGGATGGAAGCGATCCCCAGCTGCCTGCCTTTTAGAGGAAGTCATCATGAAACGTGCTGCTTTGTCAGCCTTTGATTCTTCTGCAACCCTTACCATATTCAATGCCCTTATCTGTCAGTTTGACCTTGACTCCAGGACTGGCGCTCGAGGTCAACTGACTGAAGGCGAGCAACGACAGGCAACACCACAGCAACATGTTTCATTAACCTTTTGGAGGAAAAAAAAAAGATGGAGAGGATCAGTAAAATCCCCAAGCAATACATCAATGCGTCCCTTTTAGAGGCTATCATTCTCCTCTCACAGTTTACACGAACATCCATTCCAACTTCTCTATTGTACATTCAAACGTTTTCGCCAGGAATTTCAGTGGACGTTATTTTTCACAGTCGCCGGCCGCTTCATGGTACAGATTCATGGCAGATTCAAAACCAAAAGTCGGCCTTTACAAATAACATACTTCATCGTGTGCGGAGTCTGTTGAAGTATAATTTGAGTGGAATGGCGCATAAGAGTTCAAATTTGAGAAAAAAAAGTCACATTCATTGCGGCTGACTGAAACCACATGACAACTTGTTAAATCAGCAGCCAGCAAGTTCAAATTAAAGGCCACGCCCATTGTCCGTTTTGTAATGAAGAAACGGCAAAATTAAAAAAAATAAATAAAACATGCACAGTACATGCATAGCATATAAACAGTCCCGCTATTTTTTCAGGAATGTCGGCGCTCACGTTTTATGAGGAATATGAAAAAGGCCCACCAAGGTGTCATAATTTGCACACGCCATCACTAACATCCCAAAATGTAAGATCTTTAAGAGGTACGGCTACACAGCATACATGCTAAACCAGGATTAAGATGTGAGCGCTCACACTGACCTGAAGTCGCCGTTAGCCTCCGAGACCGACAGTTCCTCCCGCCGTCTCGACTTGCAGCAAGACTGAAAGTGGAAGGACAGTGCGTGCGTGCTTCTAATTCACTTATTGAATCAGGAACTGGACTTGACGACGGGAATGTCCCAGAAGGGGCAAACAATGATAAACGTTGTATTTTACATTGTTGTGAAATGGTCAAGACAAAGAAGCCCACATTTCCAAACCGTTAAAGGGCCATTCCTGCCACTGGTGACTTTACAGGATAATAACTTCAGCTTTAAAAAGTAAATAAATAAAAATTTGGAAGATGAACTTTAAATCAGATAGACTGCATGCTTAACCGTGCTGAACTTGGATTCAAGTACCTTTGCCAATTTTTATTATATTTATCCATTGCTTGTATCATATTTATAAAATGTTATGGCTTCATTTATCTTGACTCCGTCCTCTTTTACTCATTTATTGTATAATTATATTGTTGTGTTGTATTTGTCGAATTTATATATTGAAGAATAAATAATAAATTGAAATGACTGAGATTTTATTATAATTAGCTATTTTGTTGTCGATACAGTACCGGCTCGTATGTGAAAGATACTCATCCCTAATTCTATTTTATTCCATGCCATTCTCGCCACCTTTGATACAGTGTATACCGCACAAAATAGCAAAACTGTACTACCCTAGTTGTTTGTGACCGTCTGCGTTGCATTGTCAAACCACCCAATATCTCCAGCAGTTTTTCAAGGAATCGTTTGTACAGTACATACACAGTACTTCGTGCTTGTTTAACTGTTAATCGTTCAAGCCAGGGGATATTTAGCAATGCGGTGGTATCTATGCTTTCGTCCATCACCGCTCAAGTAGTTGTCTTTAAATGACTGTGCAGTCTTGATTCTGGTGCCTTTGGGAAGTGGAGCTAGGAAAGAAAAATTAAGTGCAATGACGACCTCTAGAGGCGAAGCGTACGATTTCATGGCAGGCCCATGTGATCAAAGCTGACCTGCAAGCACCCAACATCCGCCTTTGCCTGCTACAAATGACGATAGAATACAATACAATGCATGGTATGCCAGCACGCTCCATTTGCATCAACTGGACACAAAGTGTCACTGTTCCGTAATGCCGTTATTTGTTGTGTACGATGGCGTTAGTAACCAAGCGTCCTCCTGCATTTAATTATTCACAAAGTATCAGTTTTGTCGCATGCACAATACGAAAAGTTTGTGAGCGATCACCATGGCTGAGAAGTATATGTTTATTTAAGCCTTTGGGCTAAAATACTAGTTGAGACTAAATCAAGCGCAAACATAAATACACATAATTACAGATCCAAAGTGCATTTCACAGCACATTATCAAGAAACCGAGAAGTGGAGTCAACCCACACTGAATAAGAGCACACAATTGGCCCTGCTGTTGAACTGAACAGCTCGAGCATTTCGGTACGACGCCCAACTACTACAGTGCTGCTTTCGATGCCTTGCCAAGTCAAAGTCCATTAACGGTAGACAGTTTACTTAAAATGTATTTCAGTGTAACAGATTGTGCCGAATGAAAAGCTCAATCAAGGAGAATGTCTGTTCAAAATGGCTACCTCAACCAACTCCACCACTAGGGGTCACCACCTACACACCTATTGTAATTTCTGGGGTCAGAATAATCGTGAATTGGGTCAATGCGTCATTGCACTTTGACTGAGGACATGGTTGTTATCCTTCCACCTCAAATCTTACCCCTGAAATCAGTGAAGCCACAACGATCGCAGTGCCTTAATGTCATCACCTTCCACCCCGATAGAAAATATTCACCAGTTTGTGACAAAGTTGACATGGATGGCGGCGTCTCTGATTTTTCTGATGTCCGTAACGACAGGCTGTTGATGTTTTGGACAGATGAGTGCCAAGAAAAAATGTCACCTGGTTCAGGATGTCACGGCATGTTTCCTGTGCAGCTGCGTGGGAGCTGCTTTGCCTTCTGCAGTTATCAGAACGACCAAGCATGCTGGAACATGACCGCTGACCCCTGCTCATGATGGTCATTCACGTGCATTTTAAAGGGCAGATATGAAATTGTTTTGTGTCGTCTTTAAAAGAGTACCAAAATGTGGAAAAAAACCATGTTCAATATTTTGAAAAAAGATAATGCACCTTGTTCGAGTGTCTTCATAAATCATGGGGGAATGTCACCTTTATTTAAAAAAAAAAAACTGTCCCGTTATGGTGATTTAAAAAAAAAAGTTTTTTTTTTTTTCTTTCAAATAAGGAAAAGGAGATAAAAAGTCATGTTTTAGCCACAGTGCATTCCACCGCCATGAGTTCATGTGATGGTGGAACAAATGGAAAGAAGGAAATCGCCCCGTCCGGGTCAGCAGATAGCAGGGAAGGACAACAGGGTAAAATCATCGGACGGGGAAGGGACAGGATGCTGCTGATGTCCTTTCAAAAGCACTCAGAGTCAGTAGCTGGACCCACTTAATCATTACAGTCCATGCCAAACTTGATCACATCAGTGGGACAATTGCTTGTGAGTGTTTTGAGTGAACCACAGCTGAATGCAAACAATGCCTAAAGCAGAGTCACATTGGTTGGTGAAAATTAATTTTGGCCAGAATCCAAACTGAGCTGTAGCAAAGTGCCCCAAATTCAAATATTTCACTCTTTGGCATCTTTTGCAGGGCTTCTCTCGCAGCTACAAAAGGAGGAGAGAATTGAGGAAGAATCCGTCAATCCTGAACACTTGTTAACATTCAGTTTGTCATGATGTCGTGATGAGATGGGCTTCCACTGACAGAATGATTGAGAGATTTCTCAAACAGCAGCGGGCCTGTTGTGCAGTTCTGTTACGCTGTGCGTCTGATGGCATCTCATTTCAAAAGACAGTAACTTGCATACTTTGGAGAGGGTTTGCCAACTTCCGCGGCCCCTAAATGTCTTCGCAAATCGACTATAGGCTCTGAAGCAAATGCCAAACTGTCATCTTGGAAGCAGAGGAAAAAGGACATCATTGGCCTACTGAACAAGGTGGAGGAAGACGATTTCCTGATAAATGGGGAAAAAAAAAACAATCATGGATGATCTGCAACCCCGTACCACTTCAGAGAAAGTCAAGAAGGTGATTTTCGTTGCTTACTTCATTGATTTGTGTTTCACAAGCACCGTAGAGGAGGCTGTGCACTTGGCAGAAAGAACACTTGCCACCTCAACCATTCGCTGCCCGTGCAACCGCTGCTGAGCAAGATCAAGGAAGCAGCACTTCCACCTCCACTGCCTCTTCCACTGCTTCAAATAAGTACGGCAAATCTCGCTCGAGCCTTCTGGAATAAAATACAGCAGCAAAATATCAAAGTGTTGAAGGAGAAGCTACGCAACATCAGAGGTTAACTTGGATTTGTCTCAGCCTTCCAGATCCTGTGCACGGCGCCGAGAACAGCTCAAACATGAATCTGGATGGAAAGTTTTAATATTAATTGACTGATACAAAGAGTGTCACGTCCATTTGCACAGCAGCTTAGGAATGCACACACGCATGGATTCAATTGAGATGCAATTTGAGATGAAACCTGTTGAAACTTGACGTCAATCTGCTCGATGCCAATGGAACTCACTCCCACAACCCATCAGCAACTGACTCATTACAAAACCTTCAAAACTCTCATGTTCAAACTGGCTTTTTTTTTAAAGTTCGACATTCTTATCTTTATTCGTGTTAGTCTCTTTTTGTGTATTTTTTTTTGTTGTTGTTGTTCAGTCGCTTATTTTGTAACGAATCTTTGAAGGTCCAAAAACAGCGCTGTATGAATGACGTTTTCTTCCTCCCTTTTGCCATTGAACTTTCAAACGTGAGCCGCGGCAGACAGCGCCACCTGGCCGTGGCCGGCATCACTACCTGCTCTGACGGCTCACAAATTTGCTGCACACCGCCTGCAACCGGTGACTGGTATCCGCACAAAATGTGAGCTCTTCACAGAGTGGCCCCCTTTTCTTTTCCCCAGCCCACAAAATGTGACTGTGGTTGCGGTGACCTTTTGTGCCGCTAAATCCAATCACTCGTGAAGGGTAATACACGGAAGGTTGTGATGTTTGACTTGGTGATGCAATCAAGGGGAATGTTCTGACGACATAGCGCGAAATGACAGCGGCCCCTCTGATGTAATGGGGGCCTTTTAAAAATATTAAATTTAAAAAACGGGGCGAATGTCAGTACAATGAAACATCGGAATTGCCATCTCACGGTGCCCCACTATTGCCACGGACACGCACCCGGATTATACAACATTGTTTGCACCGCGATCTTAATGTGAGTACTTGCTGGTGACGTATGAAAAAGACAACAAAGAAAGATGGGTTTTATGTATTCCGCTCAACTCACAAACTGAATGCTTGCGTCGTTTTCCCCTCTTGCCTCCCTCCATCTGACAGCGTCTCTCTCTCTCTCTCTCTCTCTCTCTCTCTCTCTCTCTCTCTCTCTCATTAGGCTTTTTACCGGCAATACGCGCAAGCACGTACACACGCTCCCTTCTTTTCTTTTTGCCATACCGGAGGAATAAACGCTGTGGACTGACTTTACCCGTGTGCAACGATAGACCCTGCACTCCTCCATCCAGTCCTCCTCACTGCATGTGGTTCTAAAAAGGTATGTTGAATTCTTTTTTTCCCCCTTCCTCCCCAACGCGGGCATGTCGTCATACAATTCCGTCTTGATTGTGTTAAATGTCTCTCCCAAACGATTCGTTCGTGTCAGCTGCCTTCTTATTTACGCATGATTTGAGCAACCGCGATGTTGTTATGTTATGTTGTGCTCGTGGTTTTGCTGCTATGGCACCGTACAGGAAAATAAGGGCTCCGGTGCTTTGGTAAATTACCTAATAACGCGTGTGGACTTTGGCTTTGGCTTGTTTACCGACCTCTACTGGAGGAGGCATGACATCGTGGGAATGATGGTGCTATTGGGTAGCAAGAAGGCGCGTTCGGAAGGTCTTTGTGAGCCCACTCGGCCCCGAGTAGTTTTGACATCATCATTGCGGGCTTTCGCGATCTTGCAGGGTCCACTGTCATGTCATGAGCAAGTTGCGTGCATGTTCTCCGATCAGCTGTTTCAGCGTGTGCCTAAGCCTGTCACCAAACACACCCACTTGTAATTACACACACCCACACGAACACACAGAAACGCTCACGCACTGCCGGGACATGCACGCATGAAATTGCAATTGCTGTTTTTGCCTACATGCTCAGGCTTGTCTATGTGTGAGGTCCAATTGCTGTCTTGTTTGCTTTTTTTTTTGTTGGGAGTGCGACAAAGTGGCCTTTTCTTTTTGGACATACCTCTCCATACATGTAGCTGCTTCCTGCTTAGAGGTTGACGTGAGCATAAAATGAACAAAGGTATTGGGACACGTGATCATGACAACAAGTGAAAATGGTCGCCTCTTAGCAGTTGGAACAGCGTCTACTTTGATGAGATTTTTTTTTTTTTTAATGAATTTGAAATGGGGCAGCTCGATGACCGACAAAGTAGCATCTCTGCCTCGCAGCTCTTGGGTTCAGGGTTCGAGTCCTCCCCCATGTCGCTCCAACATTCCAAAATATGTGCACGTTAGATTAATTCAGTACTTTCAAGGTATGAATGTGAGCCTGAATGCTCAGGGTGGGAATTGATCAATCCTGGACTTGATTGAGCATCCGATCAAAACTGCTATTGACATGCAGCCCACAAATGTTGTACGTAGGCACAGATCTTTACTCTCTACTCCAGTGCCTTTGTTGTTGAATGATTAATTTTGTTGGCCAATTGCGGTGCTGTTCGACAACAACACACAGCAGGCGCACACACACACACACACACACACACACACACACACACACACACACACACACACACACACACACACATGTGCGGCATGCCACATTGTGGAGGATCAGCACGAGTCCGACTTCAGATTTGCCGTGGATTCTTCTCTGGATGACAGTGGGAGGCGGCTGTCGTTTTGTCTACGTAGTGTTTGAACACTCGCAAAGCACTTCATTTGACATTCAAATAATGACATGCATATATTGGGTTTCTTTTTTGCCTGCGTACACCAGAACTTTGGGAGTTGGGTGCGGAAGGGGTTGTGGTGGTGGTGGTAGGGATGGGGGTGGGGGTCTACATGCGGCCGTCGTTCCCTGAAAAGTTGTCGTCGACGGGCCGACATGCGCCGAAACGTAATCATTGATGGAGGGTGGAGGGGGGGGGGACAATTATGCTCGACAAAGTGATAAAGTCATTGATCAGACAAAGGCCGGACACTGGACAGAGAGGGTCCGAGGGAGCAGAAGTTTTAGTGATCATCTGACGGAAAGCGTACGCTCGCTTTTGCTTTTTGTGCTCAATGAGGATGCGTTCTTACCTGCTGGGATGACTCATTTGTCGCCAGTCCGTTGTGTGAACACTCGTTTGGGATTGTACCGTGCATGATTTCATTGTTTTGAATCAACACATTCCAATTTCATTTGGCCACAACGGATGTCTTTTGATATTTGGTTTGTGGCGAGTGATGAACAGTCGAAGTCGCGGTAATGATCTCGAGCCGCAATTCTGCTGTTGATTCAAAACGGGATCCTTTCATATTGGCTAAGGTCTCTGTGCTCGACTTATTTCATTCGCTTTTTGAATGCAGATTAAAAAAAATATATCTATTTTTTTGAAATGCAGCTCCAATACAGTATTAGATGTAATTAGATTGTGAAAGATGACCTAATTTGATTCAAAACTGGATCCTTTCATCTTGGCTAAGGTCTCTGTGCTCGACTTCTTTCATTCGCTTTTTGAATGCAGATTAAAAAAAACATAGCTATTTTTCTTAATACAGCTCCAATATTAGATGTAATTAGATTGTGAAAGATGACCTAATGAAGTTCCCGGTGAGTGTATATTGCCATGTAATTGAGTGTGAATTTGAAAATGAATCATGCTGAGACTGAAAACGAATATCGAAGCCCCACACCCTCCTACCACCACTCTCATGATGATGTTCCCAACCTGATCAGGGCTTTCGTTGTGGTCGTGGGATTTAATTTTTTCCCCATGAGCTGTGTTCTGATTGTAACAGTCAGTCTGCTCACTGGATTTTAAGAAATTCATGCTTTATTTCTTACCCCTTATTTCTCCATACAGCATCACTTTTTTTTTTTTTTTTAGTGAAGGGGGGTGTTATGAAACTTTCCCCCAAGCAACAGCAGTGCTCAGCTATTCTGATGATAAGAGTGAGTCAGCAGGTTCTGCGGCCCAATTCTCCTTTCTGTCATGTATACCAACAGTCGTTTTCCTGACTGTGTTTTCGAGTGCTGCCTGTGAAGAAAGCCCCAGATTCTCTTGGCTGTTGTTCGCTGTCTTTGACGTGGTGTCGCAAAGATACTCAAAAGGCCTTCCTTATTTCCCTCCCTCCTCCCGGAAGCTGTCCTGACACGAGCTGATGTGACTTTGAAGGACAAAGACCCCCAAGAAGAGTAAAATTCATGACTGTTCATGTCGTTCTGTGATGATGTCAAATGGAGCAAGACTGATATTTCTCTACCACAGTCAGAGCTCTTATACCAAAAAAAAATAAAAAATAAAAAACTTGGTGCTGGCGCCAGGGCCAGTGCTGTGCTTAGCCATGGTCAGAGCTCTTATACCACCCCCCCCCCCTCAAAAAAAAAATAACTTGGTGCTGGCGCCAGGGCCAGTGCTGTGCTTAGTTGGTATTAACAAGTTCTTACGAAGAACGTGTTTGGATTTCCACCGGCAGAGAGCCAAGTAGGTTCGACGTCATGACATCATCATAAAGTGTCCAAACGTCACTGCTTATGTCGACCTTTACTCATTCATAATATTAGTAATACTAATGCGCTGTTAGCATCTACTAGGCAACTTAGCATAGCATCGATTATATTTGGATGTAGAGTATAACAGTAATGGACATGCAATCAGCAAACGCTTCTATCTTTCTGAATTGACTGCGAGTCGGAGATCGCATGCTGTCTGGGCACATCTGCGAGTTCACTGCTCAACAATTAGTGCAAAACTTCCGTGTGTCCAGGGAGTCATTTCGCTACACGATAACCCCGCCCTCCAGAGTCTGGCCCAACAAATAATCGGAGCCAGCTTAAGCACCACTTTCAAGCACCAGAGCTAGAGCTGGAGCCAATTTCGGTGGTGGAAAAAGAAAGAACTGGTGCAACCCGGGTACTGGCCCGGAGCTAGCACTAGCACTAGCACAAGAGCGGTGGAAAACGGCCATCGGTGTTCAGTGCAGCGAGTGCATGAGGGTTCTCTGATTTCCATCAATTCTTATTTACTTCAAACAAATACTCTGTCGAGGTTACTGGCATCATTGTTTGCTGAGGATGATCAGACACCCAGCAGGTGACTCCCAGTCCCGTTTGGCCTGTCGTGCTTCTCAACTTGTCAGACAGGTTGGATAACGCTCGCAAGCCGGTGTGCCACACTGTGTGTACACTCAATTGTGCTTTCCAAGTCTTGTTTGGGCATGCTCATGTGGCTTATATTTGCACTTTTATTTTATTTTCAGTGAGATAATATACCAATTTACTTCTCATATCTTCATAGGTCTTACCTATGATTGTGACACTTTCACACACGGGGAAAAAAAAACCCGCATCAGACCCCAGACCCTCTCCTCGATGACATATCTGACTTCGATGTGAGGATTTTGTTTGGTGTGGGCAGTTTTGCTACAGGCTAATGTATGATAAGTGGGACTGGTCGCTTGAAATGTGCCAGTGACAGGATCTTTATGAGATGAACTTGAGCAAGAAAGTGAACTTGCCTGGGGCATATCTCTCAGGGTTTCCTCATTATACATGAGTGTGTATCTGGGTTGTTGAATCTTCTTATTCAGGTTCAATAATTCAAGATAAAAAAAAAAAAGCTCTTCCTCTTCTGCTTGAGAAGTCCTTCTAACATTAGTCCACTTGTTTTGAAACATGTGCCGTATCAGCGGGATAAGAGCTTGTGATGCATCCGATTCACAGAGCTGACTTTCATGCGGCTAAGCTTGGCTCTGTTCCCGCGCTGGGTGCAGAAGCTCCAGCTTCTCCGTGACCTGGAACACGGTAAAAGGCATAGCGGCTCTCGATAGATGGACGGATAAATCGCTGTGTCACCTGTGTGATTGACCCTCTGTCCAGAGTGCACTCTTCTGCTCACTCGGTGTCTGCACAGAATGAGCGGCATGCATAATGGATGAATGCATCCAATCTTCTTGGTGTTTACATTTTTTTTCCTGTTTAATTGAAATGAATGAAACGCTTAGGATACAATTTTGGTGATGTGATTGTTGTCGTTTCGTTATGGGATTCAGTCAAATGTGGACTGACTTGCCGCATTCAGTTTGAAGTGGACATTTGTAGTCAACAGAGCGCAGCTCAAACAAACACTGAATATGATCAAACTACACGTTGACTTTAAAGGTTCACACTTGCTAAGAATAGAAAATGGGTGTTCCTCTTGGGTGCGTCTCGACAACCCTAAGGATTGGACAGAAGACGTGCCATGCTGATGATCTAAACAACCATTTCTTTTTCCAATGCCAAATCATATTGAACCAACATTATGGCTCACTCTTTTAAATTTAGTTTATTCCTGCGATCAAGAAGAGATTATGTCAAGTGGGAGGAATTACAATTCATGCAATTGACATGTTAATGTGCACGTACATTTACGACTGTGATGGCCAGAAAAGTTCTCCGCAGGCTACGCAATTAAAAAAAAAAAAAGGAATTGTGTGAATCTGCTGAAATTGTGCTGGTTAAATTGCAACCCATTCTATTTGCCCCTCAATATTTCTTGTCTGTGCTGCTTGTGAAAATGGAGTGTTAATTTGAAACAATTTATGTCCCGACTACTGTGTCAGTTTTGTTGTTGAGGTCCGACCAATAAATACTTTTGTCGACCTCAAAGTGGTGCCTTGACAGAGTTATGATCTTACAGGTTGGCCCTTTTCGACCTGTAGCATTTTCATTTCAGAGCGGTGCACCTTTTCGACGTTACACAACAGAGTAACAGCTCTGTGTTGACGCCTGCAGGATTGTATCTTCTTGTTGCGATTTTTTTTTCCTGCCAAAACTGGGGCCTCATATATCAAAGCGTGCATTGTAATCCGACTAAAAGTGTGCGCGATCAGCACCTTGGCGCAATTTTCCCACGGTAAGTGCCGCAGATTTACATCGTATCACCAACCTCGTCACATCCGCATTCAGTGATGTACACCACGTCTGTAGATTTGTCAACTGTTGTGATGCAGGGGTGGCATGATTTCCATTTGCTGGCAGTCAATGCGCTTGAGTCATTTGGCTTCAGTTTCATCACGTCATTTGAGTTGCCAGTCTTCACTTTCACTGCCTCTGAAATGTGCCTCAGACGGCTTCTGCAACAAACAAGTCAATGTCAACCAAGAGTATGGCGTGCATTCATCAAACCGTTTTCTTGAGTAGATGACGGCTCAATGGAAATTTCGAGCGAGACCAGATTAGACGATTTTGCTGCCAGTTATCGGCAGACTTTGTTTCACCATCACGCAATAGTCAGTCCCATATTGTCTGTCCAATGATGGATGGCATGCTGCAATTTAGTTATAGCTAGAAAAGAAAACGAATATCCAAAACACATTTTACACTGTCATTTCATCACATCATTTGAGTTGCCAGTCTTCACTGCCTCCGAAACGTGCCTCAGACGGCTTCTGCAACAAACAAGTCAATGTCAACCAAGAGTATGGCGTGCATTCATCAAACCGTTTTCTTGAGTAGATGACGGCTCAATGGAAATT